CACACACACACACACACACACACACACACACACACACACGCAGAGCACATTTTCTGTATGGCTCCTCTCTTGTGACAACCCTGTGCAGCTTTGGTTCTGTATATAAGGTGTAAACCAGTTTTTCGTCTTTTGTGGAGAGCTTTCAAACTCCCCATGCTACAATAAACTGCATTTGAAATTCTCCGTGAGTCTCCCTCTCCTTTGTCCATCTCCCCCACTCCCCTTGCCAACCCTGCAGCCCCTGTGCCTGCCATGAATGGGTGCTTTGTGGGAGTGAATGGTGGGGAGGTGAGCTACAGGAACAGGGAGGCTATTGAGACAACATTGAACGAGGCTGGGAAGACAGAGAGCAAGTTCCTTCCCAGAGGGTGGAGAAGTCTCGGAGGATCGGAGAATCTGGGCCGGCGAGTTTCTCCTCAGCAGGCTTTCTTCAAAAGGGCAGTGAGAAAGCTCCGGAGAGCTTTCTCCGGTAGAGAAGGAGGGGGTTGCCATTGAGCAGCGGGGAACGTCTTCCGTGGAAAGGTAACTGCTTAAGTGGGCCAGCTAATGAGGCGAGGGGGTGGGCAGGGTAGGGTCAGAAACGACAGCCGTCCACATAGAGACTTTGGCTGGGAGGGTTCAGGAATTGAGAGTGGTAACAGGGAGTTGGACACGCCATGACTACCCCCTTTCAGGCCGCCGATCAAAGCTTTGCTTGATCTGAAAGTTTTCCGTGGACGCACAGATGGAACGTGTGACCTAGTGTGACAGGATTTCACCGTGGTCGGAAGCATGGGCATCAGAGCTCCTACTGCTTCGGTTGGAAGCTTACCATCATCCCTGCCTAGTTCTCCCACAATGGGCAAGTCATGAACTTTTCTGTAACTCCCTTTTCTTGTCTCTCATGTGGGGAGAATAATGCCTCTCCCAGTGGAATTGCCTTGGGTGTGCAGACAGGAAAGGAACACAGGGCAGGAGGGGAGACTGGGTGTCATGTTGGAAGCCAGGATCGGGACTGACTAAGACGAACGAATAGGATGTGGTACCTCGTAGTCATTCAGTAAGTGCCAGTCTTCATCATGACAGTACTGCTGCTGCTGCTGCTGCTGATAATGATGATGGTGTCACTCGCAAAACCCTCCCGGCCGATCTCCAAGCAACTCAGCGGATGCTTGCTCTCAGGAGCAAGTGAACGTCAACTTCCCATTGGTTCCATGGTCACCGAAAAGGCAGTCAACTTCTCTGAGGATCAATTTTCTTGGCTTCCAGTTATAAAAAGTCTTCTTGGCCCCACCAGCAAGCAATCAGGGTTGAGGGAGAAGAAGGAGTGTATAGGTCAATGGGAGTATAAATTAAACACAATGTGAGTGCAACATATAACCTGTCCCCCAGCCGTCCCTTCACCAGAGCGGTTGCTTGCACGGGTCTGATTGGGCATCTGGGAAGCACTATGGTAGAGCAGAGAAGGCATTATGGCTCAGAGAACTTGGGCTTGAGCTGTTCTGCTATCTGGTTGCATGGATTCTTGGACAAGTCATTTTACCATCCTGAGCCTCAGATGACTTGTAAGTGAAATGGGAATGAGACTGTTTACTGAGAGGCATCAAGAGGTTATAAACAACAGTGCTTGTGATCTATGAATGTGTTATACAGGAGTTATTAAAGTAAATCAAAAAGGAGTGACAGAGGAGTGGAAGGAGGCAGTGACTTGCTCAGAGCCTGCAAAGACGGCAGTACCATAATGTCATTCCCGGGGCTCAGTGACAGTTCTGTGGGGGCATAGCTTTGATTTTCTTGATGCAGATAAAGTAGAATCTGCTTGCATCGTGAGGGCTGACTTAAGTGAACCAAACCCACAAGAGATGGGTGTGCAAGCAAGAATGTCCAATTATGAGCTTATTGGGGGAACCTACACTTTCCAGTGCATGAAATGCTAGAGTTTCCTCATCTTGTTATCAAGACTCCTGGGAAAGTGAATTAGTCACAAAAGATGGCATGTGCTTGTGCAAAGAGAACAATGAAAGTCCTAATAGGTGGGTGGACCCGAGAGGGATGGATTATCCTCCTCTCTGGGAGACTGGAGCTCAGAGGCCACCAGAGATGGCCCCTTTCTCCCTGTGACACTACTGAATGGACAGTGGGGCATCCTTGTCCCCTGAGTGTCATGTTCTAGGTTCTTCCTTAAGTTACACATTTCTGTCATCACATGTCAGTATGAGAGATATTCCTGTTTGTCTTGTAAGGTCAGATATGAAACAGACACTGCTATAAGCTTATCAACATCTATAAGGTAATAAAGCCTAAAAAAAAATCTTGAATAAGTCAGCATAAAAATGAAGAACAAACTGGAGTGAAAATCAATAGCCAATCACATTAAAAATGTAGTAAAGGAGAAGTCCTGATTTAGTTTTGTTCAGTAAATATTTCCTGTATATTTATTGTGTATTAATTCTTAGGCTAATCATTGGGGCTACTATTGTGAGTCTGAATTAATATTCTCTATTTTACCTCCCTGGGTTCTAAAATTAATTGCAACGGTTATATAGAACTTAGAGACAAACTCAATGATTAAAGGGTTTATTAGGAAGTTACCAAGTTGTAATGCTAATGAGAGACGTTATGGGTTGAGTTACCAGGACTTGTTGCAAAGTTCTTTGAGGTCTGCTAATAAATACCCTAATAAATAAAGGGCATGCCACCATGCTATAACCCTCAACCCAAGGCATTCAGTTCAGGTTCTGTGAGTCAGCATACCTAGCGACCTGAATTAAGTGCCCAGAGACACCCCACTCCAGTAAGCCTCAGTCCAACGGCACTGGGCTCTACTGCTGTTGGTTTTCAAGCCCAAATTCTCCAATTAAGTGCCCAGAGGCACCCTAAACTGCAAGCCAGCTTCCTGCACAAAAGCACTTAGTGTTTCTTGCTCCATGGCTCAGGAAGTCCATCACTCTGCTTTATGTTCTGGATCCTGGTTCTGCTGCTCCTCCTCTGATATTATAGCTGTCTTCTGGATCCAGGAGTTTCACTAGGCAGGGATCTTGGGTCCTGAGGATGTGTTCCATGCCTGGCTCTTGCTGGTAATGAGATCCCTTCTCCTGCTTCTCAGAGGCCTCATTTTATATGCATCAGGATGGAATTGCAGGGAATCTTGTTCACAATTACTCATAGGTGAATTCTATCAGTATCTTCTCCCTTCTTCTTACCAGCTCTGTGCAGGGAAAGGCCAAGTGGTCAGAGTTGGAGATTTTGGCTGCACTAAATAATTCACTGCCCCTGAACCTATGCTGAGTGAGATAGTTCTTGCCTAAGAGAGCTTAAAGACTTACATGGTGGGGAGTATATAGACATACATAGCATATAAATGGCATCTCTACAGAACTCCTGGTGGTTGAAAGTAATGCCTGGCTGGACTACAAAGGACGGATAGGAGTTTATCATGCATACAAGGACATTCAAGGCAAAAGACCATTCAAAGAAGAGAGACCACTCTATGCAGAATTCATAATATGGATAGAAACATGGAAACGTGACCTTGCATGAAATCTTTGAACACCTGAAGGAGCCTGTCTTAGTCTGGGTAGACTAGAGAAACAAATCCGTAGATACTCATATGTATATAAGAAAGAGCTTTATACACAAGAGCACTTGAATATTGAGAAAACATCCCAGTCTAGATCAAGTACATAAGTCTGATATTAGCCCATACCAATCTATAAATTCCTCTTCAGACTCACGAAACACATACAATGACGCCAAATGCAAGAAGATCACAGGCCAGTGGGTGGAAAGTCTTGTGGAACCAGTGGTGGTGTAAGCACCTCAGTGCTGGCAGGGGTCTCCATGTGGCTCCTCCAGCTCCAGGACTCTAGTGTAGCTCCATGTGTTTTGTCATCCAGAATACGAAGAAGAGAGAGTATCTCCCACCTCCAGGGAGGAATACAGGAGTTCCCAGAATCCTCAGGAGATGGTCAAACCCACACAGAGGCCTCACCTCATTGGCTATGACCCTGAATTTGTCTGGGTACTTTGGAAAATCAAAGCCACAGCAACTCATGTATAAGACAGAGTTTTATGTAAAGGTTAAGTGAGCATCAAGAACACATCCCAACCCAGTGCTGCCCAAGCCCACAAGTCCAACATTAACCCATGAACTCATATGTAGTCCACAAAAGTTTTCCGCCATCTCACACAACACACATTATGACGCTGACTGCAGGAGGAAAGCCGAGTCAGTGAATGTTAAGCATCTCAGCGCTGGCAGGGGTCTCCATGTGGCTGCTCTAGCACACAGGGCTGCATTGGGGCAGGTCCATGTGGCTTCTCCTTGGGGATGTCTTGCAGGAAGTCAGCCTTACAAGCTGAAGCTGGGAAATGCTAAGGCAGCTGCACCCTGGTGCGACCATCACAAAGCAAGAGACCCGAGAACTAGAAAGGCGAGGCTCACCGAGCCATTTATCCCTCCGCCCTTCAATTAATCCCACATGTGTTTATCGACCAGGTTGGCACAATAAACTAATTAACTCAGACCCCTTCACAAGTTGACAGAAGATTATGTAACTGCCCTAGACAATGACAATGACAAGAAGTAAGATTGAAACATTTGCTAGATCCAATCAAGAAGGTCCTGCGGGTCATTCTAAGCAGCGTGGCCTCTAGTTTGTGGGTCAGATGTTCTCAGATGGAGTTTGGGGACGTATTGTGTCATTATAGCCTGTTACGTACTGGGTTAGTAGGAACAAAAGGGGTTGCTCCGTGACCAGTGGTAGAGAAATTGGGCTATGCAAGCTATAGCCTGTCTTGTTCTTGGAGTATCCCCTAAGAAATTTGGTCTGTGTTTAGGAGATCTCATTCATGAAGATGTCTCTCTTTTGTCCCTTCAGTATTTGATGGTTGACACAGCTATCATAGAGAAGAAGAGCCCAGTAAAGGGACTTACTAGGAGAGTGACATGGGTGACAATTCTATATACAAGAACAATTGAATATTGAGAAAACATTCCAGCCCAGTCCAGATCAAGGCCGTAAGTCCAAGATTAGCTCACATGTCCGATACCCATCTGTAAAGCTCTTTTCAAACTCACGAAACACATGCAATGATGCCAAATGCAGGAAGATCACAGGCCAATGGGTGGAAAGTCTTGTGGATCCAGTGGCGGTAGAGGCATCTCAGCACTGGCAGGGGTCTCCATGTGGCTCCTTCAGCTCCAGGGCTCTAGAGTAGCTCAATGTGTCTTGTCAGCAAGCGTGTCTCACAGGGAGTCAGTTCCGATCTATAGAGGTGGTAGAGTGGCCAGAGATGGGGCATGCATTCTGGAGATCGGTTGGAAGTCCAGTCATCAAGGACTTCATGAGGGACTGGATTTGGGCTGGGGTGAGCAAAGTACAGAGTGGCTTCCAAGTCCTTGGCTTGGGTAATGTCTTAGGCTGGGTTCTCTAGAGTAGCAAAACCAGTGATACTAATAGCTGTATATGTGTATGTGTGTATACATGTATATACATATACGAGGGGTTACTGCCCCCCCAACCAGAATTTTTCTCCAAAGCTATGTCTTTAATATTTCTTAAGCAAAACAACCTTATCACCCTCAAAGTACTTTCCATTACACTTAATACATTTGTCTAATCTGTGGCTCCATTCTTGGAAATAGTTTTCAAATTCATCTGTTTGAATAGCTGACAGCACCTCCCTAGTTTTTCTCTTCACCTCTTCTGCATCATCAAATCGCTGTCCTTTCATGTCCCTCTTCATTCACGGAAACAAAAAGAGGTCACACACAGTCAGGTCAGGCGAGCAAGGTATATGGGGCAAGAGAGACATGCTGGTGCACTGAGATAGCTGCATGAGCAGGTGCATTGTGGTGGTGGCAAAACCAGTCCTCCATTTGCCACAAATCAGGCCTTTTTGGTTGCACACTGTTATGCAATCTTTTCAGAGCCTCTAAATAGAAAGCTTAACAGTCTGACTTGGTGGGACGAACTACAAACTCCCCCTCACATTGAAAAATAAAAGAGCATTGTCTTGACCTTTGATTTCACTTGACGAGCTTTCAGTGGTTGAGGTGACGATGGCATCTTCCATTGGCTTGATTGGTGTTTGCTTTCGGGGTCATAAATAGCACCACGTCTCATCACCAGTAGTGACCTTGGGGGGAAAGTCTGGGTTGCTTGGGAGCTGTTCTTTCAAAGCAGGGCATTTTTCCAGTTGACACTTTTTTTGCTGATCAGTCAGAATTCGAGGCACAAATTCCGTAGTGACCCTTCTATTCCCAAATGTCCCACTAAAATTTTCTGAACCAAACTCCAAGATGGTCCAGATAACTTTCCCATCTCTTCAATGGTCTGTTGTCAGTCTTCAAGTACAAGTGCATGAGTTTTGTTGACATTTTTGCCTGTTCAGGAGGTTGACCGACATCCAGACAAGATTTGTCATTAATCAACATTTCACCTTTTTTGAAATGAGAAAACCGCTCGCACACTTGAGTTTTTCCCAGAGCGCTGTCCTTGTAAGCTGTGTTTAGCATCACAACAGCTGCTGCAGCATATTTCCCAAGCACGGAAGAAAATTGCACAGCCGCTTGCTGTTTTCTTAAATTGTCTATCACAGAAAGCAAGGCTTGAGAAAAACTGCTTTTAGAAAAAATTCACTTTGCCCAGAGAGCACCTTCCCAGGTGACACCACTGGGTGCACTAACTCAGAGCGAGTTGCTCAATGCCCGCCTAACAGGAATATACGTATTAAGAAAGCTCTGCCTAGTGGAGCTTTTGCTGGTTTTGAGGGGGTACCTCCTCATATATTATGATACGTGAGCACCTTCACATGCCTTGTCCATGGTCTCCTCCCAGACCACCCCTTCCCTTTGAGGAATAGTGCCAGAGCTGATCCCTGAGAGTGCCTCATCACCAAGGCCATTTCTAGGCAGCAATTGGGAATGGCCCTGGAGGGACAGCTTCCAGAGGACCCGCAGCCAGCACTTTTGCCCCAGTTCTACCTCACAAATCCCTCTCCCCTTCTTGTTGCTAGGTACCATCAAGTCTGTTCAAACCCACAGCAACCTCACAATTGTTCCTGTACTTAATCCCCTTGTTGAAGCCACTGTGTCTATCCAGCTACTTGAGGACCTTCCACTTTTTTACTGCTGCTTTGCTTTACCAAGCAAGATGTCCTTCTCAAGGGACTAGTCTCTCCCGGCCTGTCCAAGGTATGTAAGATGAAGTCATGCCATCCTTGCCTCTAAGGAGCACTCTGGCCGTACTTCGTCCAAGATACATCAGTTTGCCCTGTTAGCAGACCATGGTACTTTCAATATTCTTTGCCAGTGCCACAATTCAAACGCATCAATTCTCCCTTGGTATGCCTTACTCAATGTCCAACTTTCACATGGATAGGATGTGATTGGAAATACCGTGGTTTGGGTCAGGTCACCCTAGTCCTCAAAGTAAGATCCTTGCTTTTCAACACTCTAAAGAGGTCTTGTGCAGTCGATTTACACAATGCAACACGTCTTTTGATCTCTTGACTGCTGCTTCTTTGAGCCTTGATTTTAGGTCCATGCAAGACAAAATCCTTGGAAACATCAATCTTTTCTCTATTTATCATGTTACCTATTGATCCAGTTGTGAGAATTTGGGTCTTCTTTACATTGAATTGTAATCCATACTGAAGGCTACAACTCTTGATCTTCATCAACAAGTGCTTCAATCCCTGCTCATTTTCAGCAAACAAGGCTGCATGGTCTTCATATCACAGGTTGTTAATAAGCCTTCCTCCAAGCCTGATGCCACATTCTTCTTCATATAAGCCAGCTTCTCTGATGATTTGCTCAGCAGACAGATTGGATAAGTACAGTGAGAGGATATAATCCCAACACCTCTTCTGATTTTAAACCATGCAATAGCCCCTTGTTCTGTTTGTTCAATTGCTTCTTGATCCATGTACAAGCTCTGCATAACACAGTGAAGTGTTCTGGAATTCCCATTCTTCTCAAGATGATCCATAGTTTATTATGGTCCACACAGTTGTGTGCCTTGGT